TGAGAAGAGTGGGTCCCGGGCATTATTGGAGCTAAACAGACCAGGTGTCTTCTGTAATGTACAATACACAAGGTGATATGAGGGGCCCAGTTCTGACAGCTGGGGAGGAGCAACCAGCTGTGAAGGATAGCCAGGTGGTCCCAATCCCAAACCCTACCACCACATCAGCCCACCGCTGGCCTGATTGGCATTAATTGGCAGGTCGGGGGATGGGGGTCAAAGGGGGCAGGTGGGGGGAGTTGGGTTGGAATAAGAAGCAGAGAAAGCAGGTGAAAAATGGAGACAGGTTGACATTCAGAGAGGCTTTTTAAGTTACACTGCACATGTAGTGAGAATCATTATTACATATTTACCTCTGCATTGCCAAACTGACTCCCAAATATTTTAAAGAGATTGAATGGAGAAATTAAAAACTCATATAACCCAGGGGGGCCCACTGGTTTACCACACAAATATTTGATGTCTCCCCATAATTTAATTCAGAAAAATACATGATGAATTTCTGAAAAAGCTATTTTATAATCTACAGATAAAAAAATGTATGTATTTGTTGTTGTAAACACTGCTGTGTCAGTAATCACCGGAGGCGCAGTTAACCAGCTGATACACACAAATAGAAGGAACAGTGACTTTGAGTGACATTACTGTGTAAAATTTAGTGTGAGTGACACAAACTTCAAACTTGGGGTTTGTTCATAAATTCATATACAAATCCCAGCACTGGGTTTACCATATTTCTTTTTCATATAATAGGGTTTATTCTTTTACTGTTAAAGTCACAACAAACTAGGACTTTATTATGACTGTGGTTTTTACAGCAACCTACTGTGAAGAGCTATAGGAAGTCATTTTTTTTTTACAGTAAATTACAGCATAATGAATTACATTTGTTTTTTTTCTACCATGTTTTTTTAGTAAAAAAAAAAATCTTTACTGTAAAATTTAAGCATGCCAAACCAGTATACCGTTTTGTACATTCCTGGCAACCACAGCTGCCGGTATTTTATCGTAAATGTATCTTTTTTTTTTTTTTTACAGTAAACATAACACAGCATATGGTTCATTAAGGCAATGAATGGTCCTGTTATAGCTGTGGACTCAGAATGGATAATATACCAATCATAAGACCCGAATATTGAATCAAAAGATGGTGACAAAGAAAAAACATGGAGTTTGCTCTCAATGATGATCTGACTCCCGGTGAAGTGGCTAAACCTCCATCACTAACTCTCAGTACCACCCAAAACCTGAGCATTCCTGTTTGTGGTTTGGTGACGGTTGTCATAGTACTTTAAGACCGACACAAACTGGTCTGTGTCTGGGGTGAGCATTAACATGTCTACTCCCTTTGGTGTTTAGAAAAGACATGGACTTGTTTTATCATCAGCACCAGGCGTGTGGTTCTGGCTGGCTGAAGTCTTTAATACAGGGTCTGTCTTAAATGAATGTGCCAGGTGTATCTCACTTTAGAGCAGGAGCTTCCTCGGTGTACGGCAGACAGACAGCGGGTCACAGCACCATCAGCCTTCTGCTGACCATCCAAGGCTGGGTTGAACAAGAATCAATACTGAGACCCAACATCACAAGTTTATGCGGCAGACGTACTTGCCTCTTAAATTCAGCCTGGCTTTTAAGGCAGCTTTTCGCATGCCACGGTCTCAAGATAAACATAACCTTCATGACTCTGTGTAATTGTTTGTTGAACAGTTCAGTCAAACCAGCTGAATGAGCTGAGCCTCTCAATAGCGTCTCCTTGTCACTCCAGTGACAGTTACTTTGCAGGGACTGAAAAACATGTTTTTTTCTCTCTCTTTCTCCAGAAAACCCTTTTATCCTTGTGTTTTTACCCATTTCTTTTTTGCCTGAACCTGGGTGACTCAATCCTTTCTTCCCTCTGGGCTAAATTGATGGCAGTGCAGGAGTTAATTGTTCAGGCATGTGTTTGGCTTCCTGACGGAGAGTGGATGTGGATCAGGGTGGGGTCAGGGTTCACGATGACATGTTTTTCTCTGGGCACTGGAAATGGAGAAGAGGCCATGGGAGAGTGCTGAATATGGGGGTGAATCGGAGTTCCACTAAGGCACTTAAACCTGTCTCTATACAGCAGCCAACAAAAGAGAAAATCATCTTACACATCAGAGATGATAGCATATCCAATGAGAGCTGCCGCTTCATAGAAACTTTGTAAGGGATGACACTTTTAAAAATGTTGGACTCACAAAAACCTCTATTGGTCTGAATAAAAGAGCTGACTGACATACAGTAGAATAACCACTGAACAGATGGCTTTCAACAGTCAACTCTTAGAAAACTTCAAAAACTTTCATTTATAATTTCAGACAGCCACAACTCAAAGAATTCAATTACTGACATCTTTTTGTTGGCTACCTTTTACTCTGAAAGGTCTATTGAGGGACTAGTAAAAAATCAAAGGGGGCTCGAATCATCCTGTAAAAACCAGAAGCTGCCTCACAAACTAAATACCAAAGCATTCAAATACGTCTCCTCCCATAAACCAAAGAAAAATGCTATTTCAGTCCAGTAACTGTAGATAATAGGGGACACAGGGTGGATTGACTCCACAGTTTTCAAATTCTTCACACAGACATGTACTGTATGTTTTGGTTTGATACAAAAAAGATCGACTCTTTCTCTAAAATCAGAGTAGACTGAGAATCCCACTATTGGGGCCAGACTACAACTGTCAAGTGTTTTAATACAGTTATTAAAGAATTATTTCATTAATTCTTTTCCTGTCTCTAGGAACATTCAGGGTGCCCTTATTGCAGGAAAATAGACCTCTACTGACTTTTTTCTCACAACAGAGGAGTATCCGTCCAAAAACAGGGCTCTGTTAAGGCCAACAAAGCACCTTTGAATTAACAGAAACCCATTTTCTCTTTGTTAGGATCAGTAAGTGGGAGCATTATTGAAGGTGGCAGTCCATGTACAGTGAGTGGGTTACTATGTGGAACAGAATAATAACAAGATGATACAAGAGCCTCACGGGAAAGAGGGGTCATGTCCATCCTTTTGGGCATCTAGTCATGACCTCGCTACTACAAACCAGATGAAACGGAGAGTTGGTGAATTCATCGAATTAAAAGTGTAGTCCCTCAGGAAAAAGGGTAAGTAGAGCTTTAATATCAACTGTGTTTTTACTTTTTTGTAGAATTAATATTACACTTGTGATTTTCATTTACAGTAAAGTCTCAGCATTGTTTTGCTGTGCTGTTATTTACATTTTCATTCATGGTAAATCAACACAGTGTCCAGTCTCTAAAGAGATGCAGAGAACAAAAGCAGCATCTATGGGTCCTCATCTCCATAACATTCAGTCTGTTTGCATTTTCTTCTCATTCAGCTTGAAACACTGATAGAGCCTAATTTCGGTTTTTCTTCAATTGGGTCAAAGTCTCCTTTGCTCATTGTTCACTCTGTGGGTTCTATTTTTGTGCCCGCCGGTGGTGTGGCGGAGGGTGGCGCACCCCCACGCAGTGGTATTTTCGTCTGGCGGAGCCCGGCATACAGCCAGTTTGGTGTTAGGCTTACATACAAATATTATTATATTCAGCGAGCCAAGTTCATTTTATTTGCCAACATCAATGAAAGAAAGCCAGGCCACGGAGCACGATGTGTCCTTTATGCACAGGTGGTTCAGATTTTGCCATTTTGGAAATTTATGTTGTGTACTGTGCGCACAACCCACCTTTGTCAAATATGGTTTTAATATATGCAACTTGATGTGTCTTTATTTGTGGAAAAGGGTGTTTGTCTTACCAGTGGGTCCAACCTTACACCCACCAAATCCATCTGTGCTCATATGAGACAGTGTGGAGGACGCCCTCTACAGCGTTTACAGCGACATTTGTTGAGGTGCTGCTTTTTGTCGCCATCATGTGGCATTGTTGTTTTCAGCCATCACTTGATCTCTGCGACTACTTCATGAAAATTGTAATACGCCTCGCCGGTGGCGGATTTAAAGGTGAGGAGAGAAGCTGATGTGATAGAAGAAAATAGGTCTTATATAGGTTGTGTTAAACCCACCCCACGCCCTCTATACGACTTATGCCACTGGGAGGAGCTGAGGTAGGGAGGGGGGATACTTACACCGGGCTGCGCCGCTCACCAAAATACCAAAATGCGCTTGGGCACGCCTTATCGGCGCGGCAGACCTGACTTACACTGCGCCTGTGCCACCCCGCTGGCGAGGCATGAAAATAGAGCCCCGTGTGTTTTATCAGTCCTTGTTCCAAATTTATGCCCCTTTTCCCAGATTCTCTGCCATTAACTAGCCTTGAAACACCAGTACTAATTTTGTACTTACAAACAGAGCAATAGGAAGAGGCTTTAAAGTGATGCTGTAGTAGTGCATTTGTTTCTCTTGATGGGCTATGATCATTAAAACTGAGAGATTAAAACAATCTATGTATTGGAGAATTTAGATATGATGACAGCTCTATATGATCACAAAAATATGATTATCAAGACTGAATGTTTGGTTTGTCTCCTGCTGTGTTATCCCTGTTATGTCCTTCACACTGTTCCCCTCCTTAACAACAGAGCGTGGACCCTCCCCTAAAACAGCCCTCACTTTACCTTCATCAGCAGCAGCTCAGACCAGTGAGGAACTAAGTTTGAAATTACTGCTCAACAAAGATTAATGGAGGAGAGCAGATGGAGAGAGGAGAGCAGGGAGAGGAGCAGAAGGAAGAGAGCAGGGAGAGAAGAAGGAGGAGGAGAGAGAAGAGCAGAGAAAGGAGAGCAGGGAGATGAGCAGGATGAGGAGAGAGGAGAGCAGGGAGATGAGCAGGAGGAAGAGAGCAGAAAGAGGAGAAGGAGGATGAGAGAGGAGTACAGGGAGAGAAAAAGGAGGAGAGAGGAGAGCAGGGAGAGGAGCAGGGAGAGAAGAAAGAGGAGGAGAGAGAAGAGCAGAGATAGGAGAGCAGGGAGATGAGCAGGAGGAGGAGAGAGGAGAGCATGGAAATGAGAGCAGGGAGATGAGCAGGAGGACGAGAGCAAAAAGAGGAGGAGGAGAGAGGATGAAACGGAGAGGAGAGAGGAGTACAGGGAGAGAGAAAGGAGGAGGAGAGGAGAGAGCAGGGAGAGGAGAGCTGGGAGATGAGCAAGAGGAAGAGAGCAGGGAGAGGAAAGGAAGCAGGGAGAGAGGAGAGCAGGGAGAGGAGCAGGAGGAAGAGAGCAGGGAGAAGAGAAGGAGCAGGGAGATGAGCAGGAGGAAGAGAGGAGAGCAGAGACAGAAGAGCAGGAAGAAGAGAGAGGAGAGCAGGGAGAGGAGTGAGGAGAGCAGGGAGAGGAGAAGGAGGAAGAGAGCAGGGAGAAGAGAAGGAGCAGGGAGATGAGCAGGAGGAAGAGAGGAGAGCAGAGACAGAAGAGCAGGAACAAGAGAGAGGAGAGCAGGGAGAGGAGAAGGAGGAGGAGTACAGGGAGAGGAGTGAGGAGAGCAGGGAGAGGGGAAGGAGGAGGGGAGAAGGAGGGGAAGTACAGGGAGAGGAGAGAGGAGAGCAGGGAGAGGAAAGAGAGGAAGAGAGAGGAGAGAAGGAAGAGGAGCAGGTGGTGGCAGGTGGTGTGTCTGAATGAGCCTGATAAAGGAGGATGCAGTGATCCTGAGCATGCATGGGCACTAACAAGCTAATGATAGTTGGGCTCAAAAGTGAGAGACAAGGTTCAGTATCATAATAAAATACAATCTCAAGTCTTTGACCTGTGATCATATGTAAGCAGTAAAAGAGCTCAAATTCGTAATTTTTTTATGACAGTGTAAAAATATTTTTCGTAAGTAAAATCTGACCTTTAATTTAGTGAGTATTATCACCAGACTGAAGCTAAAGCTCTAAAAGTGAAGTTCAGAAGTGACGCATGGTCACTTTCAGTTGTTCATATGACTTTTAAAAGAAATTAACCACCCACACAGATGTGCTTTATTCAACATAGCCTAAAAAAGGAAGGATAAACATCATTATCCTGCTGATAGTGTTTTTATTAAAGAATGAAGAGTTTTTAAGGTTTAAAGAGGTTTGGAATTATTTTAATGCATGTGATAGATGGGTAATAGTTTTTAATAGTATTATATCATTATCAATCAAAGTAATCATAATTGAGAGTTTTGCCATAATCGAGCACTGCTATGATCCATATACCTACAGAAACTCAAGGAGAGGAGCGCTACAATAAGGTGACTTAAGGTGAAGGACTCATACCTCTTTGCCTGTTGTTTATTTTTGATAACAGAGGGACATATATCAATAACAGTGGGCTTATGTTAATTATGTTTGTTCCTGAAATGTAAATGTACTTGAATTGGTATTAAAAAAATGGATAAAGTCTGGAGTCGACAAAATTGAAACAGAACCTATTCATATTCCTTAACCAACTTGTCCAAAAGTATTTTAGAGTTCTAATCAAAGGGAGTGACATAGCTGTAAAATAGTTAAATAAGGCAACTGAAATATCAATACAAACAAAAACCTGAAAATGGCTTTGAGGCGTACCAGTGTTGGCCAGATTGTTTAGATTTAATATTGAGTCGGTCATGTACAGAAAGGTGGTCCTCAGATAATCTCAGATAATCAGTAATTATGCACTCTCTATAACCTGATATATTAATTAATGAAACCAACGCGTGCTGACTTGAGTGTCCACAAACACACAATAAAAAGACCCACATATTCCCAAACTAGCTTTAGTTCCAGTAGAGCCATTAACTGTGGTGAAGGTGAGCTCGCAGCTTGGTTATCAGCTTGGAGTCCTCCTCCTCTTCTTCTTCTTTAGATTTTCTGGTCAGTGGATTTGATGACAATGAGAAAAATATAAATAGATCAATTTGAGTTTGAATGATTTGACTGAATGAAACAGATACCAGTGAAGAGAAACCAAAAATACCCACCTTTATGAAGAATAAGATTTTTTTTCCACCTTTAAATTTAAAAAAGTAGTTTAGTGTGTGACCGTGCATGCTCTGTGTGTGTGTGTGTGTGTGTGTGTGTGTGTGTGTGTGTGTGTGTGTGTGTGTGTGTGTGTGTGTGTGTGTGTGTGTGTGTGTTAGCGTCAGTCCTGGTCTGGAGAGGACCCTGGAGTGAGCGGGCAGGATGAAAGCAGCCCAGGAGCCAGCTGGTTAGGCAGCACAGCTATGTTGTCTTTATGTTGCTCAACCATCCTCATCGGACCCGTGGCTCGCTGCAGGACAGCCCACGTCTCCGTGAGTCCAGCATCTCATGGCATTACTTCAGCCAGCTTAGGTCATCTTAATACATGAATTTGTGCTGTAGCTGGACAATGATCTGGGGTTATTTGTCTCAGCTGCTGTTTAACTTAGTCCACCGTTAGTGCGGGGTGAGGGAGTCAGGAAATCACGGGGGTATTTAACAAGGCTTGTGTAATTGGATGTGGCAGTTCCTGCCAGCAAACAGCAGGTCCTCGGCCCCTTTCACTGAGCCCAGCAGAGGGCCCGCACTGATGTGGATAAGGGAATTATCTCTACTCTGGTGACTCGAACTGGAGGACACTGGAAATTCAATTAAACCAATCTATGTTTTGGAGATCCAGAGACTGTGTCTACGGCAGCCTGACAGGGTCAGAGATTGCTAAAAAAGTGTCTCCTCAAGAGGACAGGAGGTAGACCTTTCCTGAGGAAAACTTTGCTTTGTTAGGAGATACTGAGCTATTTTGAGTCAGATGTAGAGCTGCACTTCATTAGAACATATTACCTTCTTTCCAGCACTTCAAATAGTAGTGGCCCGTGGGTTAGCACTGTGACTAACTGTGTGGGCGAACATTGAGCTAAGTTGTTATATGATTTATGTAGGCAAACCATTTACTTTCTCACGTGGGAAACAGCTTTAACAATCTGATGCTGTACTGCAACTGAGATAACCACGAGACGATCAGGTGGAGCTGGTTTCTCTGTTCAGTGATGGAGAACTCTGCAGGTGTCGGACTGTGTGAGAACTCTTTGGATTCTCTTCTCTGCTTTGTCCAGACTCACCAAAGACACCAGAGACAGCTGTGAAGTGATCTTATTGTGAAAAAAAAAGTTACTGTCATTTTGGTTGACATAGTGGACACTGTACAATTGTTAATCACCCAGTATTGAACAAATAAAAGGACACTCACAACACAACCAAAGGCATCCAAAAGATTAGCCTTACACGTTGATGCTTGCATGGATGCTGTATAAAACATTACAACAAAGCTTTAATATTTTTGTGGCTTTTACCACAGCCTCATCATTGGTCATGTGGGTTTGCCAAAGCCGTGAATACCCCTTTGACCTCACTGGGCAAACCTGAGGAAGCTGAAATGCATCGTCTGGTTCTAATGAAGTCACAGTAAAGTTGTTTCTTCATAGGAGTTAATTTCTTCTGTCCTATTCCTAAGAAAAGAACGTACTTGTTTGATTTTTGTTGCAGTTGTAAATGTAAACAGTATTATTCTATCTATTTGTTAGCTGGTTCATTACAATATATGCCCTTTTCCACATCCTTCCCAGGGCTGGAGAGCTGTTGTCTAGATATTCTAGTATTGTCATGAAGCCCTGACAGTGAGCTTTAGTGACAAGGAAACAGTAAATGACCGATGCTCTTAATACTCAATAACAAAAATTATATACACCAGTGAGGGAATAAATAGCAGTTAAACAAATATCCTTCATTGGTGCTGCAGGAAAAGGGTGAGTAAGTGAGTAAATGAGAGGCTGCATATATGAATATAAGTCTGATTGCAAAAATGAAATGAGATATTTTGATCACAAACCCATTATTGCTTCGTATGATACAAAACTCAAACCTTCAAAATAAATATATGGATTAAAAATATGCTACAGAAAGTTTTTTTTCATTCAAAAACTGAAGGAATACACCAAGCGACCTTGGCAGCTGTTTGTCCACCACTGCAGCTCGGCACTGCATATACTCTCACTTTCTCACCTTAACTCCTCAACTCAGCAGCATGAAGAAGTCACTGTAAAGCCCCACTCTCTCCATGTTCAGGCACAGCTGAATTTATTTCAGAAGGGAATCCAAGGGCACAGTTCTGGATATTCTTAAATATGACTGTGGTGTCAGTCCAGGATGGCTCTGTCTGTGGCATATTCCTAAACTCACGGGTTATATAAACCCGGGTCTGTACCTGCTGTGCTGGCTGATGCTCCCTCTATCTAAGGTCTTGTAAAATTAACAATGGCAATTCAACACTGAGATGAAGAAGTAGTTAGTAGGTTGTTATAACTCTTATTTCATGCAAATGCACCAAATCTGTGTTTAATTTGAGAGAGACCCTTGTAGAAGAAGTGTGTAGTGTAGCACAGAAGTGTGTGAGTGGGGACACAGAAAATGGGGCCAGAGTGGGTGAGGGAGAGTGAGGAAAATAGACGTTTGATTTAGAGAGATTTTAGAGGGATCAAGTGCAATCAAGGTGCAGTAAAGGGATCATGCCCAAGACCTCAATTCACCACATAACGCCCTCCACTAAAAATATACAAAGGATAAAATATTGAATGCTTTCTAACTGACTGCGCTGACTGAGAAAAATTCACAGGCCTCATTTCTCTGTCTCTCTCTCAATCACACACACTTCCACATTCTCTCTCTCTCTCTCTCTCTCTCACACACACACACACATACACACACACACACACACACGCACACACCCTACCACCATCCCCCCTCACGTTTGTGGGTAATGGATTTTTATCAGGGCAACAGTATCAGGGCTGATTTTGACGAGTCCCTAGGCTGCTCTACGATTCCTTTTGAAATCCCTTTCTTTAGTAGTCTTGTTCAAGTAGCCTGAGGCCATGGCCCTCCGAGATCACAATGTTATTAATACAAACATGTCAAACCGCATGCTGAAATTCAAAACAGAGGTGCCAAAATGTCAAGGTGTCAAACTCCTGAAATATAAATTATGCTTTAATATTCCTAAGCACTACACAAATATGCTTCAGTGCATAAAAAGCATGATGCACACAAGTGTTTAATATTTCAGTGTAATGTCACCAATTGCAACAGCAGAGGGGATTCGCTGACGGCGGCCCTGACTGTGATGTGAAATTTCAAAACCCCTGCAGGATTAATGATTGGACTTGGTATGCCACCCTGCCACCCCCCAACAGCTCTTCGGTGTGTATCCCCCTGTAGAAAACTCAAGGACATCTGCTGGGAGAACAAAACTGTAGCTTATTATCATCTAATATCCCCCATGCCTTTCTTTTCTGCCGCACATGCTTGTTGCTGTTTGGGGCCGGGTCATGTGATGTGGCATGGCTGCTCTGACTTTATTTTGAATGTTAAAACCCTCACTTGAATTTCTCTGCAGTTATAATACTCGTCTTTATTATTTCAGTGTGTTTTATTTCTTCCAGATGAAGCTGGTCATTGGTCCAGAAACTAAAGTTATGGATCACAGACGCATTTTCAGGAGTAAATGTGATTATGGCTGTCGGTCAATTTGAGCTTTTGTCCCGGGATATGGATAAATGAAGAAAAAGAAAATTGTTAGAAAAGCTTTTAAAAAGTTTATTACACACCATCAGCACTGAGGCTTATTTAAGGTTTAGTATTTCAGGGTACAAGCCATTAAAGTGTTGCAACATGGAGCGAAGATTAGACATCGTATTTACACGATACTTACTCAAATGTACTTTACACAGCTATATCATCTTAATCTTTTATGTGTTTCTGCATGGTTGTGTGATGATGTGAATCAAGAAATTATGCTTTTTTCCCTTATTATTTCTACTTTTTATTTGTCCTTTATAAAGAACATTTTTTCACTTGACTCAAATCTCAGATTTTACTGAAGGAATAGCCTTGTTGGTTCTCTGAGTTAAAAGTGATTTGGGATCCTTGTCCATACATCCTTTAAAACTGCTGTCAGACACACTCATGATAGATTGGTTCAAACAGATCAGATTAGCAGACAAAAAACAGACTTCTTTTTCCCCAGCTTAACACACATACTTCATACCCAAGGTGCGACTCAGCAAGTTTAGAGTCACGAGTGAATAACTTACCTTTCAGGCTGGTTTCAAGACTGTGACAAACAAGGGGACAAAAAGTACTGGTCTTTTAAAGGAAACTCACATTATTTTGTTTTTTTACAAACATCCAGACAGGCATAGAGTCTGTCTGGATTTTTTGTGGATGTGTAGTATAGACTTTTACACCGTCAAAAGAAATACATAGACATAGTCATCATATAACACCCTAGTGGTCCTCATAGGGGCCCAGGTAAAGCAGCTTTCATTAGGCTCATATACAACACAAAGCAACCACAGACAGGGACACCAGGTGACAAGTGACAAAAAACTGCCACCTGAAAACCTGAATCCTTCAAACTGAAATGATCTACATAAGTCGTGGTGAGAGAATAAATACACTTTGCTGACACTTGCAATGGGGATGCAAAGAAAATCTGTAAATGACTCTGCAGTATGAATTGTCCTCGTGTCACTCCTCTTGAAAACTCACTTTCTCAAGCAACTGTGAGGAGAAATAAACCCGTGTTCCCAAACACAAGGGGAGGACTGATAAAAGACACACAGACCGTAAATCACATATTCCTCACTCCCACTCGCTGCACTGGAGAGGTGTGCAGCACCGCTCAGTTCAGCAAACAGGTCAGTGCTTCAAGGTCCTACACAAGCTGACTGATAGTTTGCTCTCACAGGGCCTCAGCATTTCATGTGTAAAACAACGCTGCTCTGGCTACTTTCATATGTCATGGAAAAGAGCTGGCAGGAGTAGACACATGGAGTAGCCACGGCAGATGTAGTCTGACACTCCCAGGCCCCGAAGCAAATGCACAAATGCCTGCTCAGGCAACCAGAAGAGGTGACAAAACACATCAGGTAACTTTGTCTTTCCAGATGAATCCCACCTTCCTCTGTCACAGAGGCGAGATGCCTTTACGTCAACGTCATGGTCAATGGTCATGGCAGTGAGGGGAGCTGTTCCAGGGTACGATATGTGCTGCAAAGGTGCTTGACTGGTGCTTACCTGGAGCAGATGATGCCAACTGGTCTCCGATTGGTAAGAGAAAACAGAGCTGCCAATGTTGAATTGAGGATGTTGGGAGAAAAGGACCATTTCATTAGGCCCTGTTGACGTGACTATTGGACAAGAACCGGGTCTGGGACCATTTTCATGGATGCAACAAAGAAAGCCCCAGACATTTACTTTAGCATAAAACAAACAAACAAAAAAAACAAAACGAAAGAGAATAAAAACAACCATGCATGGTTAGATTCGAGCCATATTCATACCTGCCAACACCTGGGTCTCACTTAGATTTGTACTTAAATTGGTTTTAAACAAAGACATAAATGACCCTTCAAGATATTTCTACTATAGAAATACGGGGGTCTCAGGGTTCCCCTCCCTAAGAAGCTAAAATGGACACCTTTGATTATTTCAACTATTTTTATTGGCTTTTACATGTACAAAGCTGTCATTCCTTAAATCCATGTTAACAAATGAGCTTTCAAGGTGCCAAGTACAGAATAATAAGTGCATCATCTGGAGTAATGTAGTAAAAGCAACGCCAACAATAACAAACACACAGCTGAAAAATGCAATCGCATCAAGTGCAGTGGGGATAAATAACAGGTCGTCTGCATATAAAGACATCGTATGTGCATGACCTCCCCTCTCAATGTCCATGAAGCAGACCTGGTTTCTAAGGGTGTCAGTCAGGGGTTTGATTGCCAAATCGAGCTAAAGGGATGACAAGGGGCAGCCGTGTGCTCCTTCAGAGGAGGAATTATTTTGAAATTGTTGATGTGCCGAATATAAAACCTTTAACCAGGATATGAAGATGGAAATAAAGTTGTTAGAATCTTGTCCAGAAGTTACCGTGGATTAATTTACCAGACTCTTTGTGGAGTTACATGCTAAGGTAAACAACGCTATGATCTGAAACAACAATGCTCTCATATCCACGAAGCAGCTTTTTGTCTACATGAAGGTAAACCATCATCCCTGAGTGTGACTGTTAACGTGCAGAAAAATGGAGGATTGCTTTGCTGTGAGATTCTTTAAAGCTGTTGAAAAAGGTCATTATGCCATGGTGGGTTGCTTGGTGCTGGTCGACAGCTTCCATGTCAGTCTGGCTCTTCAGCTGTTAGCTCATCAATTAGCCAAGGCTACTCTATGGAGCAGTAACAGTCTTCTTTGTGACAATCTCTCCAGCCGTGTCAGGATCCAATCCAAATCCAAATGCGATTCCCTCTTGAACTTTGTTTTTTTCGCCCCTGAAAGTTGCTCTCTGCTTAGCCACAGCTTGTGTGTAGTCGAGGAAGATCTTGATCCTGCCCCATTCCTGTTTGTATCCTGTTCATTGCTCGCTGCCTGCTTGGTGAAGAATCTTCTCTTTCTCTCTGCAGTCATGGCATCTCACCAAAAAGACGCGTCTGATGGGACCTGTTGAGTGGTGAAGGTTTCACGATAGGTTTGCTGAAGTAGCTTAACCATGATGTTGGTTGAGTTCTTCCTCATGACACGTTTCTCTTTTATCCTGGTAATGCACAGATCGTACCTCCTTGACCCAGCCTCCAGGTCCTCATTCTTGTCAATGAGGGCTTTCAGGTCTTTCTTTTGCTGTTTCATGTTGTGTTCCACAATGGTAATGACATCTGAGCGGTCGTGGGCAGCTGTATGCAAGTTCTTAACTGGATCTTTTTCAGCAGGTCCTCCTTGAGGGCCTGAGTAGCATGCACAATAGTGTCAGTTTAATATCAACCAAATACAACTCTACCTCATCCTCATCCTAGCCTTTGGACCAAGCATCGAGGCACCTTTCCTTCACTGAATGGATGTTATTTTTAAAGAACAGGCGTAGTTAGGAAGTTAACCAAAAAGAGTTAGTAGAGGTGATAAAGAGGTAGTTAATGTGTCAAAACAACCGGTTCAGTAGTCCAAAACTGACATCCTTTTGTGATCATTCAGACCATAGAAATTTCTCTTCCGGAAAGGCCTCTTGTACATGTCAGGGAAGTCTGGGGCCATGGCACCTCAACAGGCCGTATAAATCCTCCATTGTGGTTTTGTAGCTGCTGGAGGTTGTTGCCGCAGAATAGGAACAGAGAATGTGACCGCTCTCTCTTAAAAACTACAAGCTGTAATTTTAACACTCGGTGCCGATTTAACAAGTTACTCTGTGTTCATAGATGAGCTTTAAGGTGATGTATGGCTGGTTGTGGTTGTTACACCTTGCTTTACATCTGTATGTTTAACCGGACTGACCTCTCCTGACACCAGCTCTGTTTTTTTATTCACCACTTCATTTTTGAATAATTTCATATTTATTATGTATATATATATATATATATATATATATATATATATGTATATATATACACATATATATCTATGGAGAGAGAGAGAGAGAGAGAAGGAAAGAGGTAGGAGTGGTGTGTGTGTGTGTGTGTGTGTGTGTGTGTGTGTGTGTGTGTGTGTGTGTGTGTGTGTGTGTACATATTAAGATGGGAGGCTGTCTTGGTCTGCCAGCAAGTCCTGATCACCCCAAACCACTGAACCCTCCATTCCTCCTGAGTCCTGACATACTTATCTCCAACACATACCACTCTGTCAGGGGTCAGCTGCTGGCAAGAAGACAAAGAGAAAAACAGAGCTGTGGAGTTGGGGGGGTTGAGGGTTTGAGGGGAGTAGGTGAATAATGTCCCTGTATGCTCCTGTGCCCTCTCACTCCAACTAGAGGGGATGGAGGGGAGCTCTCAGGGAAGTAAGGTAGGCTCTAACAGACAGGGGGATTAGTGCTGTTTCAGAGATGAACCTTTAATTATTCGTGTGTGTGTGTATGTGTGTGTGTGTGTGGGCTCCCATGTGTGTTGGGGTGCTGTGTTTTGGAAGGGGGTAGGGTTGTGCCTGCTGCTTTGCGAGGGGAATAGCGAGACCTATAATCTAGTAAGAGCTAGAGGGTGTGGGTGGTGGTGGTGGTGGGGGGGGGGGTTGGTTAGCCCCCAGCCCAACATCAGGCCAGCTCACAGGTCATTGAACCTCCTTCTTCTTCTCCTCCTACCTACTTGCTCCTTGCCCCCCTCCCCCCCTCCCTTCATGCAGAATATCTGGGGTCAACACATAAACAACTGACAGGGAGCGGATGCGTGTTTTCTCCTCTGGTTCATTGTTCTTTATCTAAAGTAGAGAAGGTCTGGTGGTAAATGTTTGATCCTGTCCAAGCCTATTGCTTTGACACTGGGTGACTGGCTAAGCTCTTTACAGACATACCTACAGGCGGCTGCGCAATTGAAAGCGAAAAAAAATGGAATTAGGGGAGATGCAAACAGGTGCATACTTCACTGGGGCTCAGTCCTCCCTCCATCTTGTTTAAGGCTTACAAAATTGTTGTGAAATTGTTGGGAGATTTTTCAAATTATCCCCAAACGCAGTGATGTACTTCAAAAGTGACATCAAAATACTGGGATTCAACACATATATCTTTCAAAGTCGGTAATATTTGATATGAGTGCCTTTAGCATTCATGTAAACAACACAGATGTGACCAAAGCTGCGTGAGGCTGCTCTTTGATCCCTGCGTCTCCGCTTTGATCTGCCTTACAGAGTAAAACATGTATTTTCCAAGCGGGAATACCGGCCGGCTCTGCAGTCAAATGGCCCTGGCAGCATTAGCTAAACATCAGCTTAGGCAGCGGATGCAAACCGCCAACACACAGCCCGACAAATTAAGTAAACATACTTACCAGTCTCACATGTTTAGGGCAGCATGCCCCGTGAGCCTTGAAAAATTGTGGTTGCCTGCTCTTCTAATAATACATTTACAGAACCCCCTCTGCACAGCATTTGAAGATTAATGGAGGAAGGTTGACATGGGTTATGCTGATAGCACATTTGTACAAGTACAGACCGGAAAGAGCTTACAGAAAATGAGGGCCACTGAGCTAATACATCTGACCTCCAGGACACCTCCACAGAAAAGCTCAGGATTTTTACCACCAGCACAGTCGCAAATAATTTGCTCTAATTGGCTTTGAAGGCAATTACTGAGGGGAGAAGACACAGAGGAGGAATGCCGGGAGAAAGTAGTGCAGGATGAAATGCATATTGATGGTTAGCATCAAAAGCAAGCCTCTTTGAAGTACTGCTGTGGTGTCAGCGTGTGAGAGGAGAGCTGATAGAAAAAACTGAACAGGAGACAGGTCCTTCTTTAGCACACGGATGGCTGCTAGGAGAGGTCAACTACCCTACAGCATAGGGAGGGTGAGTTAACCCACCATTATTTCAGAGGAGCATTATTTACACACCCAACTTAAATACCTTAAAGTTTACAATTTTTTTAAAATATAGGTTTATGAATTCTTGTAAAGCTAGATTATGCAATTTTAAGCAGGTACAGCTAGGTACAGTTTAGACTGGCCAAAAAACCCAAGAGTGGAACTGAATTTTAAGAACAAGACAGTAAAATTGTGAGCAACCCACGAAAATATTTCGTCAAAAATATTTCATCAACTAAAACAACACTGCAGAATATATGTTTAGCGTTTGACTGACTAAATGGTCATGAATTTTGCAACTCTGTTCGTCGTCCACCTCTAACGTTTTCGTCTAGTCCCGTCTCGTCAACGTAAACGCACATTGGTCTCGTCACATTTTCGTCATCTAAGCTCGTCAACGTCATGTCTTCGTCATGAAAAAAAAGGGGCATGGACAAAATATTTTCATCAACGAAAACAACACTGGAGCAATGAACCACATCTTTTCTTTATTGTGCGCTGGTGTTACTTAGTCTGTTATGAGTCTTGCTTATGACTGCTGATAAGATAACTTATTACCTGTTTTTCAGACAGTTTACAAATGTCTATTTGGCCACTGTTCAACACAAACTTGAGTCCAGAGCTAAAGGCCACAACATGATAAGCATACTTGAAAAATGAGGCAAAGGATGGCCCAGATACACCAAGTGTTTCCAGAAGTTAAGACATCATCTGCTCACTAATTTCATAAAATAAACCCATCATAGTAACTGAGGCGTCCTTTCAAAACAATGAGACAGACACACAAACAAACAAAGACAAAGTGGCTGACACACATGGTCTAACACAGCATGGTTAGACCAGGTTTTAAATTAGTTTGTGGTCTTGTAATTAGTCCTAGCTGAACCGTGGTGGCCTGTTTTTGTCTGAAAAACATTTATTGGTCTCGGTCTTTATTGGAAACAGAGAGCAGGGAATGACATGAGAACCTGTGCAGTGGTGTTAAGTACTGAAGTAATTTTTACTTTGCTTCTGTACTTGAGAATTATTTGGGAGTTCCTGGATCTTTAGTTGAGTTTTTATATTTTAGAAAACTTCTACTTCTACTTTACCACAGTTCACAGATAAAATGTGGACTTTTATTCCGATACAGTTTTCTCCCAAATCTTTATTTGTTACTTGTGAACTAAATGAAATTTGCTGTAATCTCTTTTGAGTATCTTTGACTAAATATATGGCTTTTATTAAATGGAAAACTAAGGAATTGAACCCTGAAGATGGCAGGAAAACAACATTGCTGATGTGGACTGGCACAAAAATCAAGACCCAAAGGAAGTTAAGTTAAAAAAAAAAAGAAGAAGAAAAAGAAGGTGAGACCTCCTGCTATCCCTGTCAGTCAAGTCAGCCGTGCCTCAGATTTGCTGATCTTTTATCCTAAATAACTTTGAAACCAACTTTTTACAGAAAAGTTCACTTCCCTTATTGTGGGTACAGAGGGAGCCCCGAGCTAACCAGACTAAAGCTGTTTTTCTAATAACCACACTGTTAACGTGTTTATTTTTACAGTTCACTATGGTTTTTAGGGGCATTTGCAGAAAGTCTCCAGTGGACACTTAGAGAACTGCAGTTTTTAGCACTTCTGCATCAGCTTTATTTCTCAACACTGGAGGTTACTGCTTGATTACCACTCAGCCTCTCTCTCTTTTCACTCCCTTTAATACTCGCTGAACCTGCATGTCCCGACACAGGTTACAGCAGAGGATATGAGTCACTAAGTTAATGTGAACAGCTCTTTTCTTTTTTTTTTCAAAACAGCAGTTAAAATGGGATGTTAGACCCTGAGGTAATTAAAGTGAACAATAAGATGCTGTACACCTTAATTCACCACTGTGGTTTATGCTGATGTTATATTAGCATGCCATTCTGTGATCATACAGCAGACTGTATAATTCAGACTCAAACTCTAATCATTAACAGTTTAATGGTCGCTGCTAATGTGAAGTCGGCTTATATTTTTGGGTATTATTTCGAATGAACAGGACATCTAGTTTAAATGTAGTTGGGTGCAGATTACATTAATTTGAGCGTCCTTATGCAAACTTACTTGGGGAGGACCTCCGTTCTTCTGGACCTACAGTATTTATATTAAATCAGTAGATTGGTGGAGCACAGTGTGATAACTGAACTGAGTTTTAAAATGTGGCAGAAGGACAGTTATTTAATAGATAATAATCATATATTTATTTTCTTTGTTTTATTCTGATGTAGTGACTTTGAGTTATGATGTTACTCTCAGAGATGATGAGCAAGTACTGGTTGTTGGTCTTTGCTCTTTAATAATTCACACTCAGCTCTGTCCTGAGCTCTGTGGCCTCTGTGAACCGAAAAAAGAAGCTTTAAAGAATATTTTATTCACTTACTCTCAGTGGTCTTTGCCTGAGGCCTCAAAATAACTAAAACTGCTGTTTTGCAGCCAGAAATACATGTTCATAATGACCAACATTCTGCATATTTTCTTTCTTATTAATATGACTGTACATTTACTTTTACTGTCAATACTCATCTTAAATTCAAACCAAAATACTGTTGACACTTTAACCAGACATACCGGACAACTTTCACTTTTAGGTCATTTTCTTGAGCACTATCTGTACTTTTACTCAAGTAAGATTTTGGTGCTCTTCATCCACCTCCGAACCCGGTCCACCATGTATTTGGGGTGTGTCGAGAGTGCTCGACCAGCAGTCAATGGCCCCGAGTGTCTGTCACTGCTTCTTAGTGACCATGCTCTTCTTGTTGCTGATAATTTCTCTCCCCTCTGTCACCCCTGGAGGGCACCAATAGGTCCATAAACCCTGCCAGAGTGGGTTTGTGCTCGACGACAGAAACACACTGCTTAAATTGGAGAGCTATAGCATGGATGCATTGTGCTGGTGTTTGTCTGTCTGCGTGTGTAAGAGAGTCTGGTTAAGGTCTCCTTTAATGTGCCTAACCTCTGGGCAGAATATAGGTCTCAGCTTGACAACTGACACTATAATTCCCCATCATGACCCCTGATAGAAGGGTCAGTACAATATCACCATCACACTGGCCGCCGTGGGCCTGCCTGGGAAGGGGTGGGGGGGTTGGTTCCCTGCTTTCCCCTCACAGACACAATGTGAATCCAATTACTCGCTTTGTCTCTGGCCAGAGCGCAATCCAAGCTGCATGGTGGGGAAACCCTGGGTGAGGAAGAAAAACACTGCTGTCACTGCAATTTCACAAGCCATCCCAACCTATTTTCTTTCTTTAGAGCGAATACACAAAGAGGAGATTTGCCTCTGATCATGTTAGTCTTGCTAAAATACCTGAAAGCTTTGGTTTCTGATCATTTAACAGCAACATCAAGTGGCTGAAGCAGTCGCACTGATCATTTCCCTGCCTGTGCATTTATTTCTGGATTACAAAGTTGATCAATTTAGAAGTAGGTTTGCACAGAATATTCTACTGAGACTCCAGGAGGTCCTCTGGACTCTTAAAGTTAGGCACGCTTTTGACATTAGTGAACATTAGACACGTTCTGCTGCATTTATTTCATCAAACACAATTCTTTGACCGGTCTAAGTGGATATTTGGACAAAATTTAAAGACGTTTTTTTAAAGAAATGAACAAAAAACAATTGTAGTGAAGTCATCACTCAGCAAGGAGCTAAAATAAATTTGAAGTGAGCCTTATCTAAAAATAAAGACACACTTTAAGGTCTGTCCTCAGTGTTTGCAATGAAGACACTGATATTAGTCTCAGATTAAGTAATCAGGTCTGTTAGAGGCTGGTGCTGCAAAATAAAAAATTAAAATAAAATAAATGAATAAAAATATTTTTTTATCATAACTGTTTTAGATACTCAATTAAAGCAAACCATGTCATGTTACACTACATTTGTGTCTAAAAAGACCCAAACCAATACTACATGGATTTGGTCTGGTGTACTGAAAACCTTCCCCCATTATTCACCCCAAAAACAGAGACACTGTTCCTTCATTATGTTTCACACATGCTCAGTTTATTCTGCTATGACATGCAGATTATTAATAACTTTTAATTATTATTATTGCTAGAAATCTTACATTTATTTTCATGAAGTATTAATAATTGTTATTTTTATTTAAAAACCCTCACAGAACTGAAACACAACATTAAATATAAGCTACTGAGTGTACCGACAAAATAGTGACTTCAGGTCCGTTCATCGACTTATTTTTGTCTTACAACCAAAGATGCTCTTGGAGGCACATCTTTGACAACTGCTCTGAACATGCTGTGCCTTACAGCAAAGTAAATATCACAGGCTCATGTTTCTGCAGCCGCCTCTCTCCGACCCAACTTATTGATTTCCCCCCTTTTGAAAAATACATTTGAAAAAGGCCTAAAGCTATCTGACACCGCTGAGGGCCCTGACACACACTAGCTAGTCTTGGGCTCCCCTTGGGTATTTCATGGGACCCCAAGCAGCTCTGGTAAGAGGAGAGGTCAGGGGTCAGCCTGTAAGGCCATGTCCTGCAGGTCCCCTTCCCCTGATACTGACATCCAAATAAATCTCTAAGCTCCCTCTCCCTACAATGCAACATGAAAGAGGGCACAGCCATTACCGCCGGTTACCACTGCAGACAAGCATCACCCCTGTTAATATTCCACTCCTCCATTTACTCTTCCTTCCTCTGGCTCTTGTCCTTATCATTCCATCCCTCCTCTGCCCCGTTCACTCCTCTGATTCTCTGCTGTCTTTCCTTCCTGTGCCTGGAGATACTGGCCTTGCATGGAGTTGGCTTTGACAGAGGAAATACACAACAGAGCTCTATGGGTTGCTGGGTCCCTCTATCTGATGTCAACACTGGAAACCGCTCAAGGCCTTTTTGTTGACGCATAAAGGTCCTTTCACACCGGGACTGTTTTTTTTCAAGCGATTATTTCCGACGTCAATACAAGTGTTTACATCAGCGACGTTTTCCTGTCCTGCGATATTGGGGCTGTTTTTTTTTTCGCATCACGGTCGGTTTTTCTAAAGTTTCACATACTGTGTGTCCACTTCTGACCAATCAGATTGCGTGTTGTTGCGTTGTCAGATTCACCGGTATCCAACATGGCCAACCGGCTGATTGTTTATGTGTCGGAGAACAGAGTGCTTTATGACAAAAGACACAAAGGATAGTTTGTGGAGAGTCATAGCGTCGGATCTCTCATATGACGATAGTTTGTGTGCTTTAACAGTTTGCTAAACGTCTTTGTTTTAACTTTCATCTGTGCTAAGTAACTTTAGCTCTTAAGCTAACCTGTTTAGATACAACATACCATATGTATTTTCACTATCTCAAACTCATTCGCATTGCTGTCACAGCACCATTAGGTCTCAGTTGTTACCTTACGTTTATGGATTTTAGCTTAATGTGCTTATCTGGTACTGACCTCGACTCAGTACATGCTAGTATGACAGACAGACATCTCAACACTAGTGTCTAATCAGAACTGAAAAACAGTCAGTCTGCTGTTGTGTCAGTCTTCTCGCTTCCACCTGGGACCGACCCAGGTGGAAGCGAATCTAGTATTTACTCGCTTCATTCTCGCATCAACAGTAATTTTAGCAGTAATTCCTGTCAATTCAACCAGCGGGATCAACTGGTAGACAAAGTTTTTTTTACAATTTACCAGCTAATCAGACCTGCTTACCCACACACCGACAGGATCAGTTTGTCCTCCATTTCAGATACCAGTGAACAACTGTCCGTTTTTATACATCACCCGGCAACCTTCTGATCAGTTGTCGTGACGTGAATATCCGCTCATGTTGATACATTTTCAGCTCCCGCCCAATTTGCGCCATTCGGGCCGCCAGAGTAGTAGGAGTGTCTAATCACGTCTTTGCATTGACTTAACATGTAATTTATTCGCGCAAATGACTTTACTTGCACTTGGTATGTGGAGACAGTAAGATATGTATTTCTACATATACACTCTTAATAATATGATCCTATAATGTAAAAGCTTTTCATGTGAAACAGCCATCTCAGAAAGTGACACTGTAATAAAAATACAAATGACTGTAGATGTGCTGCTGCTGAATTTAACCTTTATCTAAAGCTCCACTCCAGATTAAACAGCATTTCTTTGTGTCAGCATCCGGCAGCGAGACCGAGAGGAGATCTGTTGTGAAATCTGTGTATTGACTGGCTGTCTGCAGGTGGTATATTGACATATCTGACTCACCTTAAATAAGCAGGTGAACAGCAAGACTAGCTGTCCAAAGATATTAAGTTGTTTAGTTCATGACAGTGTCAGATTTGTATTTATTGATATTTATGGTTGGGGGAACACAACAGGGCAGGACAGTGATTATCCCAACAAACAATCTGAGCAAATAAAAACTCTACAACAGTGTGATGAAAATATGAAAGTCAGAGACTAAATTCAAATGTATGATAGTTTTCTTTTCTGTTCACTGTGGAGGATAAAAAACAAAGGTTTGACATATTTATCATGGAGTAAGATTAGAGCCGTTTCACACACAACTCCTCGTGACTCGATACAGTACAATTATCTTTCAAACACTAACTGGTGAGCAACGTTTCTAGTGAATCTACATATGCCGAGAGTGCAGCGACCAACAAGCACATTATGCAGAAGAGGTCAAGCATCTTTGTCTGTCTGTGCAACAAAACAAATCCTTCCTTCAATCAAAGAGGAGGCAGTAAAAACACTGCAGTTTCCGCCTACAGCTTCATCCACCAGAAACTGCTCAGCCATATGTGTTGCTCTTAGATGCTGCACAAACACAAGCTGCAGAGCCCGTCGCTCTCTGAGCCCATGAGTCACATTTCAGTCCTGACCTATGAGTGCCAGGAGTACGGCTTCAGGAAAGGGGGACTTCCCTCGAGAGCAGAAAGCAAGCGCAGGGGTGGTGCAGAGATTTTAGTAGGACAGGAAGCGCAATGTGTGGTAGAATTGTGAGGATGGCTTGCTCCACACTTGTCTCTGTTGGTATCAGTGTGCATTTTCTGCAGGATCTCAGAGGGGACAAACCCAGGGGAGGCTGAAAACACAAAGGAGAGTAGACTAATTTACGTCCTCATGCCAAACAGCTGCCACGAAGGACTCATCATCACACTCCAGTCATGGCTGTGACACACACATGAACTCCTGGAGACTGCTGAGATTTTTTCTGAACTGATGTTTAGCTCACTGAAGGTTTGGGAATCAGACGCCTGTAAATATTGAATTCAAAGGTTGGAGAAATGTTAACATGTTGTGTTGTGCACATGTTGTTGTTGTTGTCGATGTTTTGCACATGTTCCAAGATGTAGTGAATAAACATATCCTACTCATGCTCACCCTCTCAACACTCGAAAAACCATATCTACCATTGCTGTGAACTTTTAAAATAAAAACAATAAAGATATCTATCTATCTATCTATCTATCTATCTATCTATCTATCTATCTATCTATCTATCTATCTATCTATCTATCTATCTATCTATCTATCTAAAACATTTCTTTGTTGATAGTAACAGGAGCTTAAACCGGAGAAAACATTGAATTGTAATAAGGTGGAGACTCTTATTTTCCTTTTTAAATTGAAAGGATATTGATCATTTATTAGGAGAGTTACTGCAGGTGCATCTGAAGATTACATGGTTTTAGGTCGGAGTCTGAGGCCTCATCTTGGCAAGTATTTTTTTAAAGCAGAGGCTCCTGTGTTTTAGCTTTTAGAACTCAAGCAAACAAAGTTTTTGGTCGAGGAGAATGGACGTTTTTGTGGCTTTTAATGCTACAGATTTTTATGTGTGTGTTCATGTGGACAGCAAAAGTGAAATTTTTAATGTTGACTTCATAACCACAATGCAGACATGGTCACTGCTGTGCACATGCCCCAAGTCGGAGAGCTTTTAGTATACATCTGCTCGATATACTCAGTTGAATGGCATGGTCACAGGGAAAATTGGCTTTTCTTTGTGTTTGTAACCGTCTAAATATGCACATGTGAAAGTGACTTCTTTAAGGAACCAGTTCAGAAAACCTGGGGGATGCTATGGAGCCAGTTTTTCTAAGTTCTGCACAAGATCGTCAAAAGTTTCTCACCAGGCCTGGGGTCTCATTCATAAACAATGTGTACACACAGAACAAGGCCTGAAAATGGTGTATAACACTTTCCACGAAAGTTTTGTGATCCATAAAAACCAAACCTGATGGGGAAATGTGTGTGCAGGTAAGCCAACTGTGACACATGCAGGACGGGGGAAAGTGGTGACACAGGTGGAGAAAGGGTGTACTGAGGTCAGACAATATATTATATACTTATTATTTTACATTTAATGGCATCAAATGTCAACACTATAAACCCACATCATCATAATCACTATAATTGCAGAGGTGACTATAGTGAGACTTTTTTAAGAGATAAAGCAAAAAAAAAAAAACTTCACCTGCGTGTTTATTCTGCTCATGAGAAAAACTGTGGCAGTTAATTGGGAATTAATCTGTGAGTTTATGTTGCAGGTTGCACGCTTGTGGAGGTGTGTATGAATGATGAGAGCTGTGTTTTCTAATGAAATGGAGATCCAGCTGTCGCACTGTCACAAACTGCCATGATAACCTCTAATCTTCTGGCTCATTAGTGGTCATTTCCTTTGGAGAAATGTGGACATGTTAAAAGGTATGAGGCTTAATCATGTCTACATATTTCCAGGTATTACTGGTGTGATTTGTAAGGGAAGAGTGGATAAAAGTGTAGATGTGCATGTTTTTATAAATGAATTATTTCTGGGTATTTTGGTGCACACAGTTTTAGACTCTACACACTTCTTTATGAATAAGTCCCCTGATGCTGATGCCTAGTTAACCATCTTCATTCACATCTTGAACACTCAGATTTTTCAGTTGTTTGTCTTCAGCCTGAAACCGCCAGGATCAAAAGTGAAGCTCAGGATGAGTTATGGCGATACATTCTTGACAATTATCCTGCTAACACCCTCTGAATGTCAAGTGACTCTCAAGTCCTGAACCTAAAGGTCTTCATTAAAAGCTAAAGTCTGATGGTTTTGACAAGCTCTTCGCCTGAGTCTAAACATCTTCCTCGTGCCTGCTCTGTTCTGGTCCTTTACCCAGACTGCCCCTCCCCTCTAAACAGCCCCCTCACCCTTTTCTCCTCTCTAGTTAACAACTAAAAATCTGCAGGTTCCCTTTTCTAACCTGTCCGCTGTGGAGAGGGTTGGACAGACAGGTGAGATGAGACGAGGAGGAGGGTAAAGCAGTGACAGAGAGTGGTAAATGAGTAGGAGCGGCAGCAGGTCAAAGTAAGAACAACTGAAAGTAAGAGATGATGGAAAATGCTGGAGGGGAGGGGGGGACTGTGCATGTGCTTGGTGTCATCTGACTTTCAGGCTGGTTTGCTGATCTCTTCTGATGTACAGTACATGACATGGGCCTAGAAGCCCAGCCCCTCATCAAGGCAACAGCAGCCACAGTCCCTCTGCCCCTCCCCCCTTCCCTTGACACAGTGAGGGCCCATGGGAAGGAGGCAACAAACCAGCAGCTGTGTTCACCTCCTTTCCCTCCTCCCCTCCAGTCAGGTGGAATGAGGGGATTGGAGAGGACTGGAAGTGGAACAGAAGGGTATCTGAGTAAGCCGGAGATATTTGCATGCCTCCCAACGCTTCAGAGACTCCAATTAGCATCGGAGGCCCCGCTGCTGGCTGCAGGACCAAACCATTGCAGGGCTAGTGGTGGCATTCCTGGGCCTGTGGAAGATTAACACACCCCTCCTCCAGACGGGGATGTGCCAGGGCTGTGACCCAATCATGACCCTGTGCTCAATTTCCTCTAAGTCAGTTTTGCTAAGTAACATCCAGGTGAAAATGAGAGCCTCTGCTCTGATAAGTCTGTAGATAACTTATAAAGGAAGGCCATCCGAGCAAACTGAAGAAGTTTAGGAGTCTATTAAAGACATTTGTTCTACCTGATTTATAACTTTGTACAAATTCAAACTCAGCGTTTATTACATCTTCGTTCTGTCCCAATAAGAGCCTTGTGTAAATTTCCAAAATAAAAGCAAAGTAATATCTACTGAACAGAGACACGATTATTTCAACCATCAAAATCACTTAAAGTCCCACTCCAATGAATATCTTGTTGTTCTTGTTGTCTACATGTTTGTATGGCATTTTTTTGATGCTACAGGACGTATTATAAGAAAAATAAATATTTCTGCATTCAAATCACTGTGAATCTCTCACAGACCCAAACGGCAGGTTCAGATACAGTGAGATTTCCAATGTCCGCACTATGCAGGCCAGACTTGGAGACATAGAGAGGACGATCGTGGAACAAGCATGTATTAGCGGATTGCAAAGCTTGTAAGAAAGCTAATTATGATATTAACTTTATATAATTCATAATCACAATTTAAAGACCGCTGATAACATTTTAAATTGTAAAAAAAAATCTGGAGTGAGACTTTAAATTTGAGACTAAAGATCCTTTCACACGGGGACCATTTTTTTTCGTGCGGTTATTTCGGATGTCAATATTTTTTTCGGACCCGTATCCTGTCAAAAGCTATCACATCAGCAACGTTTTCCCGTTCTGTGATATTGCAGCTTTTTTTTTTTTTTCGGATCATGGGAGATTTTTCTAAAATTTCACATACTGTGTGTCCACTTCTGACCAATCAGATTGCGTGTTGTTACGACGTCTGATTCACCGGTATATCCAATATGGCTGACCGGCTGATTGTTTACGTGTCGGAGAACAGAGTGCTTTTTGATAAAAGACACAAACATTACAAAGATAACAACCTGAAGGAAAACTTGTGGAGAGTCATAGCGTCAGATTTCTCATATGACGATGGTTTGTGTGCTTTAACAGTTTGCTAAACATCTTTGTTTGAACTTTCATCTGTGCTAAGTGACTTTAGCTCGTAAGCTAACCTGTTCAGATACAAAATACCATATGTATTTTTACTGTCTCAAACTCAATTGCGTTGCTGTTGCAGCACCATTAGGTCTCGGTTATTACCTTACGTTTATGGATTATAGTTTAACGTGCTTATTTTTCCCCCCCGGAAAGTCACAAAATCGCATCGGGCTCGATGTGTACAGTCAGGCCCGTCAAAATTCGCCTCCCAATATTTCGTGATTTTGTGTTCTATATTCGCATCGGCCCCGGTGTGTCAGGACCTTAAAACAAAATAGCTTATCCAAATACAATGATGGCAGAAAAAGCAAGGCATGGCTCACACTGTGTTTTTGTGTACATTTATAAAACATACATACCCTCTCCAAAAGAAATCTCATTTCATTTCCATTCTCCTCTCACAGCTTTGTTAACATACAGGCTCAGGAATAATGCAGGGTTATATCCACACAGCAGGTCCTGGCAGAAAACTACAACATTTACAATTTTCACTGAGCTTTAACTCTGAAAGATTCATGTGCTTTATCAAATTCACAGATAGTGTGTTCTTTGTGTTGTTTTATTCAACACAGCTCTTAGGAGTTGTTGTGCATGAAGATCAGCAGCTTTTAATCTAGTTTATCTGCATCTTCATCTTCTTTTGAACCAGATCAGTGTGCAGCTCAAAGGAGAAAAGTCGCTACGACCCTTTTCTGCATCTCATTCTTCACTCAGAGCGGGCTGTTCTGGGAGGGTTTTCCGTTTGTATGGAACTGATCCTCACGTCTGCCTCTGTCCACAGCAAGGCCCCACAGGAGAGTCGTGAACCACCTGATTCAAGCAAGAGTTCAAAGGTTTAGGTAGACAGACCTAGAGAAAGAGCTCTTTGGGAGTCAAAGGAGACAGTGCATGTCCAGATCTGAACAGTCCTGTCACTGAAATTATCCCGTAGAGTGTGTTTATGGGGAAGAAACAGGACCTGATTTATGTCCATTTGTTATGTATGAGGATGAACATGTGTTACCATTTCAACCCAAGCACTCATGCACTGCTTTCATTGAGTTCGCAATTTCTGAGCCAACAAACATCCTTAATAAAAGCAGCACATATGAGAGATACCCCCAGGGTTTGAACCTGACACTGAAGCCTGTTTAGAGAGGAGGGAGCCTCAGCTGAGAGAACAAACCATCAAATCTGGACTCTAATCTGCACCAGGATACAAGATGAAGTTGGTTTCTTTGGGTGCCAAAGAGGCAAAGTCTCCTTTCAAGAAAAGTCCACTTTGAAGCGATCTTTAATACCATGTGTTTCTGCCATCCGTTGAGCTGTTGATAAAGTTATATAGCTCAGTAGAGGTGGTCTTTGTGTGAGTGAAGACTTAAGCTTTGGCACAAGAATCAGATATGGGATGGACCCTCTGCACACAAATTCACCAAGACTTTCATTTACTGTCTCAAATAGAGGAGTCTCTTCAATCACAGTACAGGACAATATTTATCAACTTAAAGTAAAAAGTTCAAAATTGACGATGGCAGACGTTTGTCTCAAAATTCAGTTTCATTTCTCTCTTTTCAAAATTGCGACTATAATTTTTGTTTCAACGCGCATGTTGAAGAAAAATCTTTCTCCTTGTTTATTTTCTTATTCCTGAATTTACAACTTTTACAAAAGAGACACAAAGATGAAAACCTTATAAGTTTATCCTCTGCCAGGTAGACAGTGAGAGTCCTCTCATCGACAAAAGCAGATTGTTTCAATGCCATGCCTCAAGTCATGGTGAAGCAAACTTTGTTCAGCACACAGTCAAGTTTGTATAAATCTTTAAAAAGATCTTAAATACAGTTACAGGTAAAGTTTCAGTGGACTACAATAAAACTTTATATTACCATGAAGGAGAGACCATCCTTTAAACTAGACTTGGGCATTGTACGGCCCTTTGGATGTCCCTGCCCGGCCCTTTGTGAGGGCCGTCAAACAAATTATCAACATGCTATAAAAGTGTGTTGCTTTTATTTTGAAAACCTAGCCGTTGTTTTATTTCTGTTTGGACGCATGTGCGTACATCCTTGATCTGCATTCGTGAACAGAGACAAGTATAAACATCAGCATAATATTCGGAGACGCCTTATAGTTGCTCAGTCCGCTTATTATCAACGACTTTCGGCTTGTTTCTCTCAGAAGTCGCTTGTAAAACTTGTGAGTCGCGGGTGTGCTTTTTGGGCTTTTTTTCAACTAGTAGTTGCTTATTTGGGCTGACTTTTCTATTTGTGTGAACCCCCCTGATTCCCTGATTTGAAGTTGAAGTTATTGTTGGTTCGGCCCTCCAACACAGTTCAGGTTTCTCGTGTGGCCTCATATGTAAAAACTAATTGCCCACCACTGCTTTAAGCAGTCAGTCCTTGAAACACTCAGTACGGGGATGGGCCTTAAAACAGTCAGAAGTTAAAACAGTCAGTAAGGGAAACGCTAAAACCCGTTTTGTTTTTTAAACTGTCAGTAAGTGATGAGAAGATTTCCTGAGACATCAAAAAGTATATATATATTTTTAAATATTCAATTTGAATGATATGTAATTTTTACAATCAGAAAAGTGATGAATATAAGCATTTAAATAATAATGACATGCTCATTACCCACATGATTCATACAGGTCTAAGCAGGATACAGAATATTAAGTGCAGATAGTTTTTCACATACAGGTATTTTTAAACCTGTAACACACAGAGATGAACATCGTTATCTTATTAATGTTATTACAAAGCACATGTGTGCAGACACAAACAGCTGTTACAGCTGACTGACAGCTGATCCAGAGGTGATCAGCTGATACCATCATCTGAAATGGGCCTTGCTTCATGTGGCCTCTGGAGGAAAGGACGTCTCATATCTCTTATGAGAAACTCCCTTGTTCACTCTCTCCTCTCTTCACTTCCTTGCTTCCCTCCTTCATCTCAGGTGGGCGGGGCTAAGACACAAGTTACCGGAGCAGGTGAGAGATGTAAGTGTTAAACTTCTGTGAATGCAGCCACAAACGATAAAGAGTGCAATACCATTCACAGCTCACTCATGATGATGTGTAATTCATGATGATCCAATTTAACTCAGGCATTTGATGAGTTCTGTTTGTTTTTAATTTTTAATTTTTTTGTCAATGTAAAGGAATGATTTTATGTAATTCAGTGAGTTTTATTAATGTGAGTGTGAGTGAATAACAAGCAGAGGTTTGGACACTGTGAAAAGGCTGTGTCTAATTTATTACCTCACTGATGCACCTTCTAAATAGAGGAAAGTACTGAGCCATGAACTTCAGAGCCATCTTTTGTTGGACAAAAGTGTATTCACTCTAACCTTCTCAAGATAGTAATGCCTGACCACCCCTCATGTGAAGGCAAACACTCCCTTGGGTGCCAACGTTAGTGTAATTCTTGTGTTGTTTACACAATGTGGGCACTGGGCACAAAACTGTTAACCTCATTTGGTGCAAAAAGACAAAGACACTTTGGTGAGACATAGGGCCCTCATTTCATTCAGACTTTTTTTTAAGGAGCACTCGCAGCAGGGCTACATCAATTTTATTGCTGTAAACTATCGGTGTTGTTGTTGAAGTCAAAGCTGCAGACAGCCAGAGCGTAGGAGAGAGTGAATATTTCAGCATGGTTGGAGGCATTAGTGGTGTCAGTGTGAGAGCCGGGATGAAGGTGTGTGCGTTTCTGTGTGTGTGTGTGTGTGTGTGTGTGTGTGTGTGCATGTGAGTGTGTGTGTGTGTGTGTTTTGGGATGGGGGTAGCAGATAACAGAGCACATCTGGTGGTGACGCAGGCATGCAGGAGTTGGTGGAGTTGGGTGGGGGCCCAGGGTGCAGCCCGTGGCAGCTCCCCCTCTCGTACCAGTCTCTAGAAGGGAGCTGCCTGTCTGTCGCACCCTGATTTACAACACGGCTAATGTCAGAGGAAAGCAATGTGGAAACTGTGGCATAAACACTGAATACCAACAGAGTTTAAGGATTATGAATCAGTGTCTGGAAGAGCTGCTCCTCCAGAACAGCTATCCCTGCCATACACAGGGGCGGACACACTCACACGCTGACAAACACCAGAGTACTCCAGATCTGGGAGCTCATCTCCACTGTGACTTCCACGGCATATTGTTGAGGGGAATTTTTTGTGCTTCTTCTTTTCCTTTTTTGCCGCTCATGTTCTGGTCTTTCAATTTAACTTTGCATTTATCATGCAAAATCAGACTGGTCGTCTTACGTAACTGTATTTGTTGTAATCCGTTCTTGGTTTGTAGCATGAAGGGGACTTGCTTACCCATCGAGCTGTTTCTTTGTATGCTTGATTCAGTGAATGATTGTAGCTACACAGTTATCTTTTGTGTGTATGTGTTTGCTGCTTATGGTGCAAGGCTGCACTGAGGCGATGAGTACAGCAAGCCAGGCAACGAGTTCTCCCAGCATCTGAAACATTAATGCAGAAACCCGATTAGCCATGCCATCACAGGCCTCTTGCTCCTTGCCTATTGATTTTCCTTCCGTTCACTCTACCCCTTCAAAAAGCCTGGAGGAGAGTCTCTTAAGAGCTTGAGCACCTCACTCCTCTCCCAGGCCTCTCCTGGTCTGGGCCTTCTCACCAATACAGCCCTGCTGATTTCTACTGAGACTTTGGAGGGGCTATAGACTTCTGACGATAACCCTAGGTGGTGGAGGAGAGGGCTGAGGAGGGGAGGATAAAGAGGGGGGGTGTGGAGGGGAAGGATGGTGCTCTAGTCAGTCAGTCTGTAAGCTGTACTGATCATGGCCGGCTGAATCGGCCTGATCAGTATGCTGGGGTGGAAAAATGTGCACTCCAAAGACAGAAGCTGTGTAA